TCAGATTCTTCTTTCGCTTCTAAAAAACACAAAAAACAAGAAGATTCAGATTATTCTCGGACAAGTTTATATGTCAAGAAACCTGACTCTGAAAATTTTAAAATTTACTATAAACACACTAATGAATCGGCCAGTCATGAGAAAATAGGGTCACAATCGCCCTCAACATCTATCCAAATAATTAACAACAAAGGTATAAACCAAAACAATAATGTGTCTTTAGATACAATAGGAACACAAAAAGATGGAGAAAAAACTTTTGAGTGGTTATTGAAATCAGCGAAAAATGGTGATGCACGAGGACAATATAATCTTGGTGTTTGTTATCGAGATGGAATAGGAACACAAAAAGATGGAGAAAAAGCGTTTGAGTGGTACATGAAATCAGCGGAAAATGGTGATGCTTCAGGACAATGTAGTCTTGGTTATTGCTATCAAGATGGAATAGGAACACAAATAGATAAAGAAAAAGCGTTTGAGTGGTACATGAAATCAGCGGAAAATGGTGATGCACAAGATGCAGCAGGGCAAAATAATCTCAGTTATTGCTATCGAAATGGGATAGGAACACAAATAGATGAAGAAAAAGCGTTTGAGTGGTTATTGAAATCAGCAGAGCATGAAACATCATTTGGTAACTTTAGGTCTGTAAATTATTTATATGATCAGGAATACGAGATGTTAAGAAATCCAAATAGATCCTTCATGTATTTCCAAAAATCGGCGGAATTTGGCAAAATTTCAGCTTATAATCATCTTGCAAAATGCTACTTTTACGGAACTGGAACAGTAGAAAACGAATACAAAGCATTTGAGATGTACTTGAAATCTGCTGAATTAGGAGACAAACATGGTCAGTTTAAGTTGGCTGAATGCTATCAATACGGATTCGGAATTGAAAAAGATCCTGACATGGCCTTAAAATGGTACAGAAAAGCCCATGAAAACGGTCATGATATAGCAGGAGAGATGATAGAAACATTTAATTTTGAGCGTCAATATTCTCTATTGTAATAATTTTCTTTTGGATTCGTTCAAGTATCTGTGCACAGATCTGCATAACACGAGCTTGATAGCAGGAAATTATTCTTTTTCCATACAGAAAAAGAGCTTGTACATACATTTATTTTCACATTCTATCATTCCCACGAAGCATCATTTTCGAACCTTGATAATTAGCTTTTGTAAAGGCACCTTCAATGCAACCAAATACGTGAATACTACAGAAAAGATTTGCAGAATTTGCTGTTGGTTAATGTCAATTTCTACAAGTTCTTTTATAATAAAGCAAGTCTAAAAGATGGAGCGCTTCTTGACTAATCCGCACCTTTTTACTTTTGGTAAATTTCGAGTTCAAGTTCGTTGTAATCAGTTGCAACGGCATCAACAAAACTTTAAAACAAACTCACTAATTTCAACAGATGACCGAAAGCAAGAAAATTGACGCAGATTTGATTGAATATTATTATACTACGAATTCGCCATCAACAAACTGGAATAAAAACAACGAAAAGATGGTAAAAAGTTAAGAAAATTCGATAATAGTAACGGAAAAGCAACTGACACCGGAGTTACAACAATGAACCAAATTCAGTGTGCGCCAGGGAAATCTACAAAACACCACCCATGACTAGAAAACGACGCAATTATTCCCATAAGTAACTTATAGGAACGAATGGTACGCTGAACATTTCTCTCGGAATCAACAAAAAGCCAAACGGAACTGCACTATGGCAAATAGGAGTCCAAAACCGACAGGAAACAACAGACTCACTGTTCCCCTCTGGTTACAAGAATAAGAGGAGCGCCAGAAATCAGCTGATTTTCATTTATTAGAGTGACCCCATTTTCCCGACAAAAATTCAAAGAGTGGAAGCAAGATAAAGAAAACACGTCAATTACCTGCTCCCATCCAAATATTCCACCATTGATGGTTCCGATATAGTTATCATT